GTGTAGTGAATAGTGGGTGTTACATTGTAGAATGGCATTAAGTGCCGCAATGTCCTCTGCCTATCCCTTCGGGGAAAAATTGTTTGTTAGTGTCAATAAGGATGAAATCTCTCTAACAAACTTTATAAATTTGAAAGGAAAACAATGAACGATCGATGCAATAAAAGTACAGGGTGCAAACTTTGACAGATTTCAGTCGGTTCGATTACCGTGTGAGGCAAGCTAATTCTAAAAAAATCATTGTATCCAGTTTTCTTTCTTTTAAAAAATAAAGTAATGTTTTCTTTGAGTAACATTTTCTATCTAAAGTATTAAGAGTACTTCCCCTTCAGATGGCATTACAAAATTCCACCCTATATATTTATATACTAGCTACTTCCGCGCGGTTTCCCACGCTCTGCTTAGCTCCTATTGGTCGTAGCGTGATGTTTTATAGCCTATAGCCATCCCCGATAAATGCGCTATCCAACACAAAAAGAATTATTCAAATCAGACTTGTAGTTACGGAGATTAGCGCGTTCAAACAAACAAACAAAAGAACAAACTCTTCCGCTTTATATAATAGTATAAGATTCGCTTGTATATCCTAATTCGATTTAATGGTTACTTCTGGGAATACCTAACGTAAAGTTTTCACTAAATACAAATGTGTTCTGTTTCAGGTGGTAAGAAAGGTAAGAATGGCTCCTCAATCAGCAAGAGGTACTGGCCTGATGCACTCTCCAACCCACAGTTCACAGCCGGTGAGTTACCATGACTATTAATTCAGTAATTTTTTTCCTTTTATAGAACGTTGCCCTACGGCTCCGGCTCGACGTGCAGGAGAAGGAACGGGGTGGTTTTTAGTCAGTAAGAGTCTGACACTCCCTCCCGCCTCACCCAGGCGGGAGAAGTCTTTTGATTTTCCCCCCTTAAAAAAAACACTAGGATTTCCTCCTGTGTCGTGTGTACGTTTACAAACATATACATCACACAGCTACACGGAACAACAATTTGTGGGTCACACAAACAGTTGCTCCGTGCGGGAATCGAACCCGCGACACGTTGCACGGCAGTCGGTTGCCCAGCCAACCGTGCAGTCATATATAACATAATTGCTGAAAAATGGGTGTTACTTCATCCATGCACCTCTGTCTACCCCTTCAGGGATTAAATGGTGTGATTATGGTCAAGAACGTTAACTCTTTATGTTGAATTCGACTCTTTTACATCCAGTTACTAGAGATAACAGTCTAAGTGTGGGAGAGCCATGCTTCGGCACGAATTTGCCGGCTCGACCGGCAAATTTGGCGTTGTGTTCCATCGTGTGAGTGAGGTTACCGGAGCCCCCCCCCCCTTCCCAGTCCCCTTTTTTTAAGGGGGGAAAATCATCGAATGACTGCTCCCGCCTGGGTGAGGCGGGAGGGAGTGTCAGACTCTTACTGACTAAAAACCACCCTTTCCTTCTCCTGCACGTCGAGCAGGAGCTCCGGTAACCCGTTAGGTTCCCCCAGTCTCCCTAATCCTCCACAATCCTCAAATCCCCAATTCCCAAAAGGCCAGTAACGCATTTGTACTCGCACACTATAAAAACTATCTAATCTCATCTCCAGGTCTCCTATCATCATCAGAAGACGAGGATCAGGAAGGCGACCCATCAGGTGACGAGCAGGACTCGACAAGCGATCAGCCAGAGCATACCACGTACCCTATTCAGCAACCAATGCATTAAATCAGGTAGTGTCCAGTTTTAGCACCGAGTACGTCACTGTACTGCAATAACCAGTATAAATTGATTGTCGAATGTATGGTAAGATTGGACAAAGTGAGGTCAGGGAAAACTGGTTTTGTATAGTACCATGGATCGAACTATGTAAAACCAGTTTAAATTGAACGTCGTGTGTATGGAAAGATTGGACAAATCGAGGTCGTGATAAGCTGGTATCTAAGGAATCATTAAATGTCAGTTAATTTAATTCAGTTAACAGATAATAATTCATTTGATAGTTTATGAATGATTATTAACAAAAGAAAATAGTGTCCTTTAGTATACATTTATACATATTTATTAAATGTGGCAAAATAGTATTCTTCATCGTCCATTGTAGTAAAATGTAAACTCGCAATTCAATTTTACGCGGGAAACCGTTTGACATTGACATTCGATGACAGATGTAGTGACGTACCCGTTACTAAAACTAGCATGATCGATTGGACAATTACGAAATCGAGTTAGTCGATTCCATTACGATTCAAATGTATACGTATTAATTTTAAAAATAAAAATTATCTTTTCATGACGAACGCCATGTCACAATGAAATTCATTTATTTATATATAAATAAAAAAAAATAAAAAGACATAATAATATAAAATATATTGACAGTATACCGTTAATTTTTAAGCGTAGAATAGTAATTATATTTCTGGTAACAGTGTGTTTGAAAATAGAAAATTTCTATTAATATGGTATACGATATATCAAAGTTTGGACGCTATAAACCAAACTATACTAAAAATATAACAGAGCCATGTTTCGGCACGAATGGGCCGGCTCGACCGGAGTGATACCACGGCCGAGCAGAAAACCGACGTGAAGCAACGCTTGCGTTGTGTTTCGTCGTGTGAGTGAATTCAAAACGCCGATAATGCATTTGTAACTCCTAGTGTGGTCGTCCATTAACAGCGCTAATAGGGTAGTTTCCTAAATTTTATTTTAATCTCCGTCTGGTAGATTAATTTAAAACATTAGACACGTATTTTTTCTTTTATCACAAAATTAAATACTTTCAACGATATATTGATTTGAAATATCGTGTGACGTCACATTATAGTACATTTTGTAGCACGGTATGACGTAACGACCTCCCACTCCTAAACTTAACTCCATTTTATCTAAGTATTGTAACTTTATACGAGAAAATAAAAAAAATACGGGTCTAATATTTTTTCATTGTCTAACTGATGGACTAATTAGATTTTTAATTTTCATAAGCTGGCAACTATCCTATTGCTTACTATTAGGTGATATATCTGTTCATTTTAGACCATAAAAACAATACTTTCAATGAATAGATTTATATGAGCGCTTATCTTACTAAACAATACTAAACAAATATCATAATTTTGTATACGATATAAATACAATTATTTATTTGAAAGTATACGATAACTGAAAAGTCAATTTTATTAAGAAGTATTTGTTTAGGGAATAAGCATTTAACTCGTCGAGTACCGGTTTTGTAGACACAATTAAAGAACAATAGGTTGCGGTCACCGGTGACCGCTTGGTGTTTGACAGTTTAAGTGTGAGAGAGCCATGCTTCGGCACGAATGGACCGGCTCGACCGGAGTGATACCACGGCCGAGCAGAAAACCGACGTGAAGCAACGCTTGCGTTGTGTTTCGTCGTGTGAGTGAGGTCACGGAGGCCCACTTACCCTCCCCTTCCCCAATCTCCCCAATTCCTGAATCCCCAACGATCCTCAAACTCCTAATCCCCACAGGCCGGTAACGCACTTGTAACGCCAAATTTTTCTTTTACGGCTGAAATGAAACTGCTTTTAATGCAATGTCTCAGCATCGATCTAAGTTATTGACACAATAACCAATTATTATTATAAAAAGGCAAGTCAAAGAGAAAATATTTAAAAACACACTGTTACCAAGAAGTATCTAAAACTAGAACTTTGTATACGTAATTCATACCTCAACTATTATAAACAAAAGTACTATTTCATTATATCGACAAAACTAAAGGAAAATTACTTTGAAGATGGTCTTTTTGCCTATTTCCTACTCCGTGAAATCTATTCAAAGTCAAAGTCAAAGCATTTATTTCAATTAAACCATAGTTTGGTGCTTTTCAAACGTCAACAATTACAAAATAATAGTCTGTCAGTCAGTTCGTCAGTGAAGCTACGTGCTCAATCCAAAATGTAGATTCGAGTGGAGAAGAACGAAAAAGAAACTCCATTCGTTACTCTTTTTAAAAAAAGTATGTTCTATAATGTCTCTGATACATTTCGTTACTTTACATTTCGTCCCGAAGTAAAATTATTATCTCTTGGTAACACAATAGTTTTACTTAAATGAAATGTTTAAAACATCAAATAACTGTTGAACCATTGCAAAAGCAAAGTTTATGTATATACGAACTCTTAGCACATTATTAAAATTTTCACGATGTGTCCCATAGTATATCTATCATACATAATTAACTCGTCGAGTACTAGTTTTGTAGACACAATTATAGAACAATAGGTTGCGGTCACCGGTGACCGCTTGGTGTTTGACAGTTTAATACCTACAAGCTAGCTCCTATTACAATTATGACTAATACAATAACTGACAAGAAGTAGGTGTTCTGTAAATGCTCGCCATCTGGCCTATTTTAGGTTCAATCAAAATAAATTGTATCTTGCTAAAACTTGGTATTGTTTTAGACCAAATGTTACCTATTTGTCTACTTTTTGCAGTTATATATTTGAGGAATATTTGTTATACAAGCCTATATTTGGTCTTCCATAATATATAATACCATTAATTTAATTTAAATATTATCAATTCCTTACCTGCGACGATTATATAGAGTATTTATGAAAAGATAGAGGTAAAAAGACCATTCTTTAAAAAATTCTATCGTTTTTGGCAAACCCGCTTTTGTCATTAAACATAAAAACGAATGTATTATAAATAAAATTCTCGCCTCTTAACTATTTTACTCAATATCGCATATATATGTACATATAATTTTGTACCATATTTTAATTAAAACAAAAGCGATTTTACCAAGAACTTTAACGCTTCAGTTATTACACTTCGGCCCCTAAAACCCTCAAAGAGGTGATTTCGTTCAGCGTTTTGTCAATTTTAATACCGGTTGTGAATTAACACAGATGTTTCAATAATTTTCTTCCCCGATTTTGACCGACTGACACAAGTAATAGTGACTAAGAATATTTTTTACATTCAAAACACTAGAATGAACCGTCCACTGAAATACTGTATCTATTTATTTATAAAAAGTAATTAGTTTTCAAATATACTCATTGTTAATTTCTTTTTAATTTACTTACACAGCCATATTAGAGTTAGTTTTCTTTGGTTGGTAGTGGAGAATCGGTGTAGGCAACATTATAAAACAAAAATGTTTTTTTTTCTATATTAAGTACAGTATTTTTATTTTTGTATAAAAAAGATAAGGAAATATTATTTGCTATGCTAGTGTTCTATTTTTAAGTTAGTTTAAGTGACAGTGACCATTATTTTTTATGTAAATATTAAAATCTGTTTTAATAAAGACAGAAAAAATCTTCACAGTGATATTTATGTCGATGTCTCCATGCCAACTGAATTAGTTTGTAAGTAAAAAAAAAACGAATATACGATTGTAAACTATACGATTCCCTTTAAATATAGTAATTCGAAAACTTAACGTTCAATACAAAATTGTATACGCGAAAAAAGTATTAAAAAATCGTATTTGACATTTAAAATTTAGTCAACAGATGTTAAACGAATAATCGACTAAATATTAAAATATTTCGCGTCACTAAACTTTGACAGCTGGGCAGAATTACTAAAGAATATGACATAACATTTTGTTCATCTTCATTAATTAATTCTAAATTCAATCAGTTGTAAATATTTCTATAAACGCAATGTAAGTAACCAGTGATAAAATCTTCTTCCAAGCCAAATATAAGTCTGTAGAAACAAAATGTGGTATTGCATACGCTATTTCTCTAAATTCACATTTTTATGCTTCTTTAATATCAATATTATACTCATTTCTGCCAAATTGAATAACTCAGTGACTCGATTCCATTAATAGTCAGTTATTAACAATATTTAGTCGATTATTCTTTTCACATCTATATTTAGATTTAAAAGCATTGGCGGGAAAATCAATGGGATGTAGATTAAAAATATCGTATCAATGACCTTTTTCGTATTTTTTAGTATTATTATAAAAAATGGACTTCCAATTATCTTTAGAGGGTACTATTGTAGCTGTTGATTAAACAATATACAAAATAATTAATGTATTTTAACTGCTTTTATATATTACACGGACTTATGTTTTCATTTAAATATCCGCATAATTTATAGGCTCACCCCCCTATTACATGGGACTCATAACATAAATAGTGAAAAGTAGGTGTTACTTTGTCCCCTTCGAGATAAAAGGTGTGATGTTATGTTACTTTCGAAGGTGCTCGACTAATTTCAAGCTACGAACGGGGTTCATAATCATGAGTAGAAGATTAGTTATGCAAATTCAATAGTATTCGTAGCATTGCTTTTGATTGTGATCCCTGACAGTTACTCGAAAATATTTTTATGAATTTTAAACATATTATATAAGTATATTCGATATTTTTTATACTGCTACCACAGTATTGAATAAAATATAATGTCTTCCTTATCAAATAGTATAGAAAATAACGTTGCAATGGCATCCCCTAAAATAGTTAATTTTAGTTTAAAAAAGGTCGTTGTATTACTGCGATATTTTTCATCTTAAGATTGGAATTGTTAGGTGGAGTTTTGGAAATTATATGTATAAGAAAAATGACTATTTTTCAGTGTTTGTGAAGATTAACAGGATTGTTAAATATAGGAGTGATACGTACTGAGTAAATAAACAACTGTTTATTACTAAAATATGATAGGTACACAAGCGTAATATCAATGTGAAATAGGGCTATTTCAAACATTACTAAAAACGTATTTAGTATAATATAGTAGATGACTAATTTTTATTTTAATGTCCGTCTGGTAGATTCTTTTAAAACATTAGACACGTATTTTTTTACAGAAACTAATAATTTCGATGTATTGATTTGTAATGTCGCGTGACGTCACTTCTATGTACATTTTATACGTAGAAATGACGTTTTAGCTCCCACTCCTAAACTTTGATTTGTTATATTAAGTATCATTTTATTATACGACACAATAAAAAAATACGCGTTTAATATTTTTTAATTACCTAACTTACGGACTATTTAGATTTTTAATTTTCATACCCTGTCATCATCCCTATTGTCAATAAAAAATGTACAGAAATGTAAAGAAATAAAACTGCTTTCAAAGATTTTTAAAAATTAGCTTTCCTCGCACGGTAATCGAACCGACTAAAATGTGTCAAAGTTTGCACTCTGTACTTTTATTGCATTGATCGTTCATTATTTTCCTTTCATTAAATTAATGAAGTTTGTTATAGAGATTTCATCCTTATTGACACTAACAATCGATGCAATGAATGTACATGGTGCAACTTTTACAGATATTAGTCGGTTCCATTACAGTGCGAGTTTAGTTGTTTCTTTTAAAAAATAAAGGAATGTTTTCTTTGAGTAAAATGTTCTATCTTAAGTATTATGTACTTCCCCTACAGGTGGTATTACAAAATTCCACCCTATATATTACAGTTTAGTTTTCAAAACTCCATCTAATTTAAAAAAAAACAGTGATGTGACTCTGTTATACGAAGAAACGAATATACGTAAAATGGAATGGTGAAGTAAAAAAAATAAGATTTTTTTATGATAATATTATTAT